AGGAACCAGAACTGTATACAGAATAGAAAATGCAGGTGTATGTATATGAACATACAGCTTCCTGCACACAAAACCATCTCGATGTTCATTTCTCTATAGCTTTCTTTTCAGTCTGAGCATATTAATACCTTTTAGTTTTCAGATAAGCACTGTGCTATCCACAGGCTTTACAAAATCTCTCTCCTTCATAACTTAAGCTAATTTAGATTCTACTGTCCCAAAGATAAAGTTTAGGTTATTTTCTTCCTATCATATATGCATTTATCAGTACTGAATTTCAGCTGCCATTTTCTTGCTGCCCTGCAGCTCAGAACCATGACAATCATTATCCACTGCAGCTCTTTGCAGTCAGATTTAATTTTGACTACTCTGGTATCATAAGAGGACTTTATCACCTCACCATTCTCCTTACTTTCCAACTCATAGAATCATAGAATAGTTTATTACTTCATATAACTCATTTATGAATATAGTCAAAAGATACACAAAGTATTATAATGATTGGTAAGAATATTACTGGCTTGTTTCTGCATTGCTTCAGGAACTGGCCTAAAAATGTTTTCTTAAAACAGGTGAGTTCAGTCTTCATGATTCATTCTTAATTTATGGAGGCTCACAAGTGAGGATTTACACTAGTGCCGGACATGAAGACAGATGAAGAGAAATCATAAAGGCAACCCCTTATGGTCACTGAACAGTCATGACATGTTATGCAGTCTTCATTTATCAGAGATATGATTTGTTCGATGTAACCTATTAAAAACAATCTTACCTGGTGCTCAGAATCAGACAGTTTTGGTTTGTCTCCAAAGTATGGGATGTAGGAATGAAAGTTTTTCTTTTCTCTGCCTATGAATTGACTTTTTGTTTCATTTTTGTGAGGTGCACTTGTGTTTATTAGAAAAGTAAACAGAAAGTCAATGGAAACAAATTGCTGGCCTATCATGGTGAGGATTTGTGTCTGTTACCCTTGTCCTTCCAGGACCATGTTTCAATACATTGAATGTTCTGATATATGCACCACCACACAAACTTTAATTCCCAAAGTTAGATGTCCATTTGGTGAAGTGTAGCCACTACAATGATATAGTTACTTCCTTTGGCCATTTTTCCAGGCAGGCTTCAAAAATGAGGTTTTAGACACTCATTAGCTTTTTATTTTTTCCTCCATGAAAATGTGAAGGAATCACATCATTGAAATTATGGCTTTTGTGTGATCACCCTTTTTGCTAAAAAAAAAGTGAATTTGAAGATATGCTTACAGAAAGATTCCTAGCTTGGACATGCTATGCTCGAGTCTTTAGGCAGCTTGGCTTGGTATAATGAAGAGGGTGACATTTGGACTGGTAATTCTAAGCCAGTAATAATGAACAGGAGTCAAAGGCAGAGTGAAAGGGCTTTTGTGACCAATCATAAATTATTAGTGCCCAAAACTAAACCAGATTCAATCATCTTCTTTCTAATTAGGTGAGATTGCAGGAGCAATCTGCAAAAGAAGACGTATCCAATACAAAAGGAACAAAAAACGGATCAGTGAAGAGCAGCCACTTGAAATGCTCAGAAAGAGATGAATTTAAACTGAATTAAGGTCAGCAGAAGAGACAAGAAAAGAAAACTTGTGCTGTAGCCTCATCCATAAAGCATTCAGATATTATGGGGATTATGGTAATATAAATATCTCCAGAGACACTAAGTGACATAAAATGCCTATTAATGAAAGTATATTCAGTGAGGTATATTGCAAATCATTATGAATATTCAATAGCAATTGAACTGAAATGAAACAGAGCACCCAGGGACTCTGGATTTGAATCTGAAAAGACAATTGAAAAGGGGAAAAAAAGGAAGTACAAAGAGAGTGATAATAAATTTCGTCTTATTAAAAATGCAGAGAATATAAAGCAAGCTCTTCACCTCTGATATGGACAAAATCAGACAATATGATTTTAAGCATCTTACTATGCTTGAAATATGCTCCCTCAACTTGTGTTGTTTATTCTGGGAACAGAGAGCTGTCTGTTCACTTAGAACTGTTCAGTACCTTTTAGAAAAGAACCAGGTAATGCCAAATAGTAGGAAATATAGAAAGGAAAGGGAGGGAAATGTGCAGCAGCCATCTGTCTGCTTCAATCTGTAGCAGAATTTTTTTGTATGGCTGCATTGGACAAATACTGAGAAGAGAAATAAGGTGTACTAGCAGCTCAGGAAAGAGGCAAGCCTGTTCAGATCAATCTCATACCAATGCTATTGGGGAATGTTAGTGTTAAGTAGAAAGACTTCGCTTTCAAAACCATGAGAACATTTTTAAATGTGTCCATTAGAATTATTTAAACTATGTATTTTATATGAGGTTATTGCTCCATTGCAATTAGTAAACTAGTTCTGCAGAATTCTAACCCATTTTCATGTACGCTGGAGATGTGAAATACATATTCTACTCAGTAAAATGTGGCTATAGGATTTTATTTTCAGTAGCTGGCTGATAATTTTGATGAAAAATTTGTGAAGCATCTAACTGAGAGGAGTAGGTATTTCCTGTTTTCTCCTTTTCTTTGTTTACTAATCTCTTTAATCTTGAAGACATCTTTCAGGGAGAAGAGGTGGCTCAGGAACCAGGAAGGGTAAGAAATATGATTCCACTGCAAGCAAATATTGGATCTATTTCTTCTGGTTTTGGCTATTACAGGTTTTGGATATTCATAAACAGAAATAAGATGTATGTGAACATTTGTTTAGTGATAACTCCACAAAAATAGCACAATAATCTGTGCTCAGTGTTTTGATAAAACTACAAAAATAGTGTGGCTTTATCTGTACAATATTGCTTCCCCTCCCCCACCCATCCTCCACCTCCAAAAAAATATTGAAGCTGTAGCCTACAGCTGCTAAATGAGATCAGGTTCTTGAAAAATTGCTGGTAAGTCTGTGGGAATACACATTCAGATACTGTAGAATTGATGCTGCACTTCTAGATATAATAAAGCATCTATCCATAGAAATAGATTTAAAACCAGGAAAAAATTGTCAGCAAAATCCATGTAAGTACAGCCTCAGCCTGTACATACAGCCCCGAGGGTATAGAAAGGTGTAAGGAAAGCCACGATGAATTACTCTGGCATATACTGCATAGCCTTTTCCTTCCGGTATAATAATATCTGAGTCTCTTATTGCTCTTATTTTATTCCCATTAACTTGAATCCACTTTGTACTTCAAAAATTTGACCTCTGCTTCCCCCCTTATTAACATGTTTGTCTTAGAAAAGTATTACAGAAGTCTCTCTCTGCCCTTCTTCGGCTCTAATATGACTTAAACAAGAAATGATTGTGAGGAGGCTTTAGACAATGCAGGATAAGTTATAGGTCTATACTAAATATTTTCCTTTACCTTGTCAAAGCCAATCAAGCAATGACCAAAACACATGCTGTTCTAGATTAAGTGCATGTGTTTTACCTTTTGCTTCCATTTTCCTGTACTCCTTTTAAATTTCTCTTTGATCTCTCATCAACCTCTCAGAGTCATTTATAGCTTGTGTTATTACTGTAGTCATGCAATATGAAACAAATAAAAAATCTTCCTATCCACTACTAAAAAAAAAATAAAAATAAGAAACTAAAACCATGTCAATAGAAATTATTTAATGCTAGGGAGCACACACAAAGGGATTTTGAAGGTGTTTTACAAAGCCTGTTATTTTATTCTATCTTTCAAAAATTGCTATTTGTCGATAGGGTTTCCTTGACATATGACTCTGAAGCAGGTGAAAGAGTTGTATCTAAAAATGAACGAGTTGCATGAACAACTTATCAGAAACACATTAAATTGATCTATCAATGTAATCTTTTCCTGTTGTTGTTAATATAATCTTAATGATGTCGGGTTTTGTGGTTAATAAAAATCTCACGAAATTTAGGAATTTCCTTGTGCACTGACACCAGAACAGATTCAGAGAAGTCAGCCAAGACCTTTCTGTAAACCTCTTATGATCTGACCTGGTCTGGCTTTTCTTATTTATGGATCTTACATAAACATATGGCTCTCTTGTGCTAAAGATCATGCAAAATAACATGAAGAATCTGCCGGAACTTCTTTTTCTTTGCAAGTCCTTGCTGCAGTTTCTGTGAGCCATCAGTACTGGGAATAGACATGTCCTAGATTGTAACAGGAAAAATGAGGCTGCCCATGGCATAATTTCTTTCATGACATCATGTCAGCTGTGCAAAGTTGACAATCCCTTTCCCAATTTTATTTACAGAAGACAGTAATTACCTGCACTGTAAGCAATAAGTTAGTCACCACTTTTTAATTAATTTCTTATATTTCACAACTCCATTACAAAGGCTTGCAGATGCAATTAGGTCAAATAAAACCACTGAATATACTTGGACAAACTGCTAGATTTGATCAAAGACACAAACAGCTCTCCTGTTATGAACTATATCTGTTAATACAAATGGGTCCATAGTGGCACCAACTCACATACCATAAACTACGTGAAATGCAGTGTATTAGTTGGACTAGGAAAACTATTGACATCCTTCAGATTCAGACTTGTGTCTGATATAGGTTTAATATTTAGCTCTGTTGAAATAAACTTTGTTTTTATAGCGGTGAAGTATGAATGGTGTTTCCACGTCAGAACACTGCAGTTCATACTATTAAAATTTCACAACTTCTTACTTAGTTTTGTTTTGTGAAAAAGCCCCTTTTATTGTATTCCTTTTGCTTAATTGCCAACAGTTTCTCTGCAGAGTGAACAGTGATATTTACCTTATCTCTTTAATATAGTTTGATATCACAAGCACTTTTGCTTGCTTTCAGAGGCGGAAAAACTACCAAACCATCACACACTGTAAGAAGAAGAAACCAATGGAAATCCAAGCCCTTTAGACCATGCTGCTCTGATCATTAATCACTTTTTCTTAAGCTGAGAGAAAGAAAAAATAAATCTCAAATTCATTTCAGTAGTGAATGCTAAACAGGCATTAAGAATTGCACTTACTTCTCTCTGTTGAATATGATGAATTCTTTCCTAACGGTTTCCAAGCACTGCTGCAGGTGCACGTTCTTTAAAAAACAGCATGAATAAGTTGATTAAAAAAGATGAAAACTCATAGACAAAAATCACAACAGCTGAAACAATACTGAACAAAGAGGCTTATGAATGGATACTATCAAAAGGCATTTTGAAGGCTCTTCAAAAGTGACAGCACAATCAATCTTTCTTCGGAAGAAATTCCCCACAAAGAATTTTACGTCTGATAGCTCTAAGAAGAGCAGCTTGCATGAGCATTCAGAATCATTAAGAGCAGCAACAGAGTTCTTAAAACCTCACTGAAAGGAGAATTCAAGTCTGGAAAATTATTATTTCTTCATTTTCTCCAAAGTGTAGACTGTTTATACAATCAGTCATTCTACATAGGACACATTAATCAAGACTGCAAGAAACAGCTTTAAAACATTTATAAATAACAAGCTTTCCATGCTGCATAGTTTTCATTTTTCATATTATCAGTGGATAAATACTCTTTGTAACTATCTGTCCATGTGTGGGAAGCATATTTGCCAACTGGCAACACTTTTTCATAGTTTAAATGAGCATCTGAGTGGATCTTAAAAATGATTACAACTTAAACATGCTGTAACTATTTGAAATAAATGATTGCTTTTCATCTTGCTTTGGAGATCATTTATGCTGTATGCAAAATGACAGACATAGAGACTGAGTCTATTTTCAGAGATGACAAAACTGAGTTGTGATAAAACTGAGTATGTCTATTAAAGAATTTAAATGAAATGCCACTGATCGCAGCCACAGTACCCAGCTTACCAGTGGGCAGGTTTCCTTAGCTCCATCTTTGGCTTTGTTTTTGGCAAGTCGCTTTTTCTTTTTATGGAGGGGTTTGGACTCTAAAATCATTTCTTCAAGTTCAAATGTAGGATCACAGTTCAGTCTTCCTTTCTGGTACAAAAGGATTCAGAATTACTGTTTGAAGCATCATGGTGGTTTTTCAGTTTGCCCATCAAGTGTTAATACCATTAATAATGATCCAGCTTCACTACCACAGTAAAATGAAAACTGTCTTTTTAGGCCTGGACTGATACTTAAATTCTAAATAAGGGAGATAAGATAAAAATCATAAAGCAATTATAAAGACTTAGATCCTCTTCCTAGTTATACGAAGATGTACTCCTAGAGTAACTCCAATTATGTCACTCCAATGAGAGAGATTAATCTGGCCCAGGGCATTCATCAGAATATCAGTTAGTGCTGAACAAAAATGACAACTGTAATAGTGCAGAAGGGAAGGGGAGTAATTCTAAGACCTTATGTCCTGGGTTCAGCAGTAGCAGTCATTTTTTTCTCCTTCTTAGCAGCTGGTACAGCACTGTGTTTTGACTTCTGGCCTGGGAACAGTGCTGATAGCATCAATGTTTTTAGTTACTGCTCAAATGTTTAGTCTGACCAAGGACTTTGTGAGCCTCATGCTCTGCCAGGAAGGAGAGGAAGCCAGGAGGAAGCAGAGGCAGGACACCTGACCCAAGCTAGCCAAAGAGGTATTCCATACCACAGCACATCATGCCCAGGATGTAACTGAGAGTTACCCGGAAGGGCTAGCTCACTGCGGGGTTGGACTAGCTATTGATTGGTGCTTGGTCAGGCGAGTTATCAGGTGTTGTATTCTCTTCCCTTGTTATTTCCCTTATCATTATTATTATTGGTGGTATCAGTAGTGATTTGTGTTATACCTTAGTTACTGGACTGTTCTTATCTCATCCAGTGGGAGTTGCATTCTTTTGATTCTCTTCCCCATCCCTCCTGGAGCAGGGGGAGAGCAAAAAGGGGGTGGGGAGGGGGAGTGAGAGATAGACTGTGTGATTTATGGCTGACTGTGTTTAAACCATGACACCTTACTTTTTAAAATCTGCTTTTCTGAAGAGATGAAGGTGGATTCAATTACCTAGCTCCTGTCCATGGTAACAAAGCAAGGAAGGGGCCTTTTTTTTGTTAGCAGCATTCAGATAAAAAAACAGTTCATAGAATCATGGATTACCAGGTTGGAAAGGACCTCAAGCATCATCTGGTCCAATCTTTCTAGGCAAAGTATGACCTAGTCTAGATGTCCCAGCACACTGTCCTGCTGAATCTTAAGTATCCAGCATTGGGGAATCCACTACTTCTCTGGGGAGATTATTCCAATGGTTGATTGTTCTCACTGTGGAAAATTTTCCTCTTGTGTCCAACCAGAATCTCTCCAGGAGTAATTTGTGCCCATTACCCCTTGTTTTTTCTGTGTAAGTCTTTGTAAACAGGGTCTCCATCTTCTTTGTAGCTACCCTTTAAATACTGGAACATGGTGGTAAGGTCTCCCCTGAGCTTTCTCTGCTCTAGGCTGAACAAACCCTGCTCTCTGTCTTTCCTCACGCAGCTCCCCAGTCCATCTTTGTGGAACTTCCCTGGACCCTCTCGAGCCCATCCACAACTTTTTGCATAGCAGGGACCAGAACTGAACACAGTATTCCAGATGTGGCATGACAAGCACTAGGTAGAGTGAGACAACAACATCTTTATCTCTGCTGGTGATGCCCTCTCTGATGTAATCCTGCATGCCATTCACTTTCTCTGCCGTGGTAGCACACTGTTCACTCATCTCAAGCGTGCTGTTCACTGGGATCTCCAGGTCCCTTTCCACAGATATGCCCCCCAGCTGGGCAGATCTCAGCCTGTGCTGCACTCCTGGGTTATGTTTTCCCAGGTGCAAGACCTTACATTTGTCCTTGCTGAACTTCATAAAGTTCTTGCTAGCCCACTCTTCCAGCCTTTCCAGGTCATCCTGCAGGGTGGCTCTCCCTTCTGAAGTGTCCTCTTCCACCCTCAGTTTGGTATCTTCAGCAAATTTGGTCAGGGTACATTTGATCCCATCTTCCAGATCACTTATGAAGATATTAAACAGACTGGGCCCAAAGTCAGTCCCCTGGGGACCACACTGCTGACAGGTTTCCTGTTTGAAAAGTTGCTATTTACCCTCACCCTCTGGGTGCAGCTGGTCAGACAGTCTCCACCACAACACAGAGCAATAGTCTAGACCATAATGTATCAGTTTCTCTAGGAGAAGGTTAGAGGAGACTGTATTGAAAGCATTGGAGAAATCCAAGTAGACAATGTCCACTGCTGACCCCACAGCCACTGAGCGGGTTACTTTAACACAGAAGGATATCAGATTTGTCAAGCACAATTGGCTGTTGGTGAATCCGTGCTGGCTTTTCCCAGTCGTGTGCTTCATTTCAATTTACTATGCTTTTTCTTACCTCTTACTGGCATTACTTAAATATTCTAAATTCTCAATTTTTATATTAATTTATGATGCTTGAAACAAATCTTTGTTGTATCAGGAAGCCCTTTCCAAGCAGGTTGATTGGAAACATCATTTTTATATGGTTATTTCCTTCCTTGATTTTTTTCAGATTCTTCTTTAATTCTTTTCAGGTTCTTGCTTCTTTCAGATCTTTTCAGCATAAAAGTTTACAGGAGCATAGTTCATGCCTTGAGGTTTTTTTTTTAAATTCTATTTGTTAGTGCAGTAAAACCATCTCATGACAACATTTAGAATTGAGCTCTTCCTCTCCTATTCAAGGGTAAGAACTAGGGTAAGGCCAGAAAAGCTATGGTTGAATTCACAACTTGGCATCCTAATTACTGGGTCAGGGTTTTGCTGCTCCTTAAGATCAGTATAACCTGTGCTCCTTTCTTCTTCTCATTCTCTCAAAACAGAAAAATAAACTGTGCAAACCATGTGGATTTTGTAATGGAAGATCTGAAAGGCAGCCTGTTTTCTTCTGAGAGTTCAATCACACCATTGTCACTGGCAAGGTGAAAGTACCAAGATAAGTCATATATAAATGGCACATATTTAGTAACCAAAGATACTAAGCAGTAAAACCACGTCAGAAATCACTTGTATAACTTGTGGTGTCCTACGATGAAACATTTGATTTAGAGATCACTCCATCATTTCATTCATAGCTAAGTCTGTATACTCAAAGTATAATATTAAGCTTTCTGATGCCTTTTCCTGCATACTATCCAGTCGGGTTTAGTAAAGTTTATTTTTTGTCTTAACTAATGGAAGTTTATGGTTTATTTATACTTATTTATAAATAAATAATTGTTTACATTTAACCAATCAGTTCCTTGTTTTGAGCATGTACAGTTTTAAGATTTGTTTGAGCACTTTAACATGTAACTTTAATTTTGAAGCTTTAAAAATGAAAACAAAAAATATTGAAGCAACTTTTTGCTTCCTTTATCAAATCTCTAACATACAAAAGAAAAACTATTAACAATCTGTAACTCCAAGCTGAATAGAAATAAGTAAAGCAGAAAGAAACACATGTGCTTGTTATGTAAAAACAATGTTTATGGAATCAAACTACACAGGGAGAAATTAAATGATCGCACCTTCCTACCACAAGCCTCCCATGTGTCCTCCAGCCTGCAGAAGGCAGGCAATCTCCTTACAAAAACAACGTGCTGCCAAAATGTATAAAACTCTCTAGTCATACAGCTATCCCCAAATCCCAGCATGTGCTGGGCTAAATTCACCCTCTCACCAAAGCCTGAAAACCAAGGGAGATGCTATTGCATGGTCTCAGTTAGGTAAAGGTTTTACTGGTGCAACAGAGAAAAGAGTTCTCAGAAAATACCTGGCCAAAACAGGTATTTATGTTTATGAAATAGTAAACTTTATTATAATAAAGAAATGTGCTCGAGCAAGACACCTTGACTCTTGCCTTCTCACTGTTTTTCCTAGTACACCTGATCAAGCAGGAGGAGCAAACCCTGCAATATCAACCCCTGTCCTGAAGTGCCTGGTAGGGCTTGTAACGAGACTTTCAGATTAATCCGAGTAAATAAAAGTAACTTTTTATTTCCTTTTAAATGTAGAATATTATTTTGCCTCCAATATTATAAGTTCCTGCCAAAACACAAATAAGGTGAATCCAAATGAAAAGGATTGCTGTCTGACAGATGTTTAATGGATGACAGTTGAAAGTATTTCAAGAGAACTTAGTCTTTTCTCAGTCTCCATGACATTCACCACTGTCAAGATCAGAGACAAAGACAAGCCATTTGGCTAATAGAGGAGCCCCAGACACACTGGTTGCACAATTGCTTCTGAAATAACATTTAATTTTTTTTTTTTTACCATTCTTAAGAAAACAGGAAACTTCTTTGTACTTTCTCAGTAGTCAGGTACCCTCAGAACAATCTAAATCCAGATGAAAAGAAGCAGAGAGCTACATGAGAACTGTGAATTAAGGAGTTAGGGTTATAGATGCAAAGTACCACACACTTCTTGTGCTCCAGCTCTGGGTGTAAGCCAGCTGGATGTACAAAACTTGCAGTCCCTTTATTAGATCCTATTATCACAGCCAAACTGCCGTACGTCACTGCTTGGGAAGCAGGCTTAGCAGGGTGGCACGCATCCCATTACCTGGACTCACTCCGGGACTGAAGCTGGCTTGAATCCAGTTCTCGGGAGAAGAGTTAAGATGGAAGATATGGCCCTATGAATTCAAGTGTGACTGGGAGCAAGGAGGGGACCAAGGAGATATCTGGGGAAAGGAAAACACTGGAGCAGCAACATGAGCAGAGAACAGACTTGCTATACGCAGGTTTCAGTAGCTGGTTTCAGTGAAGCAGGTTTAAGTCCTCTCTCTTTACTTTAAGTCCTAAGACGTGTACCTGTGCACATATGGGCTTTGCAGAGTCTGGGACTCCTCTGGATCCTCAGGTATGTTGTACCTTTGGGTATGGGATCCCTCTTTCAAAATACAAAGCAGGATTGTGAAGTTTCCCACATGCTGACAACTGGATGAAATTTTCATCTAAGAATAGAAGGTCTAAATAATCTGTTGAGCTTTGTCTGAGAAGGAGTCAGGGCACACCTCCAATATCTCAGACAGCAGATCTAACTTAGAAAGTACGAAAACAGGAAAAGCAGTCTTCGTTCGTCTTGTAGATCCACACCACGGGGTGAATGGAGCTCATTGTCCACCAGCCCAGGAAGGAACTTTGTTCTGCAGTGCTTTGATTAGGATAGCAGCCTGAAAGAGCATAAGGGAAGGGCCCAGCATGGCATAGCAGCTACTCAGATCACAGAGGTGTTGAGTGAGAGGGAAGGAGTCCTGGCCTTGCAGTTTCGCCCCAGTGAATGTTGCTTTAAAGTGCCTAAGAGGGGCCAACCTTTCTCTTCAGCTGTTGCACTAGTTACCTGCTATATTCCTGGTCTTTCCCCAGGCTCACAGCGGGAGGCCCTGCTTGCCCACCCATAGCTTTCTTCTCCTGCAGAATGTTGCTTCCAGGAAAGGCTCTGGTCAGGTGCCAAGAAGCACAGCAAATACTGTCAACACTGTCCTGGCAACCTGCCTGGCTGCCTTTGCTCCATTAAGCAATGCATTCTTGCTCTCAGCTTCTGCAAGGCTGAATCCTGTCCCCATCATATTTAGCAAGAACTCTAACGTGCAAGAGGACAGGGTTTAGCTATACCCTCTTACTACTCCTTATTTATGGTTGCATAAACAAAATGTTATCAGACATTTTTATGCTGCAAATTTGTTATGAGAAAAATTATGGTACAGTATGAGTGAACAAAGTGGAGAAGCATGTTAACACCACAGGCATTGCTTTTTAATTGTATCTATTTGTGTATGATCAAAATAGAAATATCCAGAAAATACCAACAAAATAGGACCACGGTAAAAAGAGAAACCACCAGATTTCCTCGCAGAATCTTAATGTTTTAGGTTAGGAATACGTCACAAAGAAAATAGGTCAGTCTTTTGGAACAGTGTTCTTTAAGTGAAAAAGAAACAGCACACTGGGGTATTAAAAAGTTTTGCAAATGTTAATCAGATACCCGACTTTCACAGCAGCTACCATCATCTTGGTATTGTTTGGCTCCACAACCATTTGCTCTAACAGCTTAAATGTGAAGCCTGGAAAATGGGTTTTTATTTGAAAGGGAACAAAGCATGAACCAAGGTTAATGAGTTTTTGTTGTGATCTGATAAAATGGGCCAAATTTTCCAGTAGCTGTGGCTGAGTAAATGAAAGTAGAATCCACAGTGAAGCTTCTTTGAGAAGTAAATCACGGAAGAGCAATAAATGCAAGTGTAAACAAGTAAACAAGCAGTGGTAATTAAAGTCAGAATTTGCAAACACAGTTGACCTGAAATACTGACTTACGTTAGGAACAAAGCCTGGGGTCACAGCTTTCTCTAGAACAGCATCCCAGTTGACATCAGCTAGGTATGGAGAGCTTTGGATGTCTGCAAGGCTTGAAAGACGGCACTCCGGGTCCTTAGTGAGGAGCTGTGAGCAAGCACAAGGCATTTTCTAAGAGGTGATATGCCATATAAAAAGGTAAAGGCATCACATGCATAAACTGTATAAGACACACTCTGAGTAAGGAAATGGCTAGGGAATCTTCTAACGGTTCCTGGAAGACCCAGTCTAAAAAAAATAAAAGTGATAACTCATAGGATACGAATATGATTTAATTGCCACCAGATGGCTGTTGCAGCCATGAAGCATATAAATGTATTAGTAACAAAAGTCTGTTTACAACTACACAAGAGTCCAAGCAACATGAAACATCACAGTTCAATGCCACACAACAATTTGTATTTCATCTTAAATTCATTGGACTATATAGTTACACTTGGCATCCTAGCAGCAATTAAGATTAACCATTATCAAAAATAGATTGCCCATTGCTACAAAAGAAATTGATCTTCTATTCCTCTATTCATCAATTCACAAATATTTCCTGCTCAAATAACAGTATTGATGATCTGAAATACCTAAGAGAGACAGATGATCATAGCAGTACAGCCAGAAAATTAAACAAAATAAAAAACCTGGGATTTCAGGGAGAAAATGGTTTGCAGGGTCATGATACATTCAGAAAAGCTCCATCTTGTAGTGTAGTAACATTTACAGAAAGGTGGCTCAACTTTAGTTGTTGCAACTATAGCAGCATAGAGCAGGGAAAAATAGAGCCCTTTTCACTTCTAAGCTCCCTGGCTAGAAATTGTAGCAGACATTCAATGTGCAGAGTGGTCCTTCATTCCCTCTCCAATATATAAAACCAGGGCTGGAGAGATTTTGGCCAGGGTACAGAGTAGAAATTATTGATCCCCAAAGTAAATACTGCACCATTCACAATCAGAAAATCTAGGAATAAGCCCTGCCTTCCCAACCTTGACATTTTGACTACTTAACGTGTGTGCTTGTTTGATGTCTCTGCATTGTTGGAGGGGTTTCCGGAAGAAGACAGAAGACAGGACAGAAGTGTTTGTAGCTTTCTTACCTTTTTCAGTAGTGCTATCATGCCCTTGCACCATGCAGATGAGTAGTGAACTCTTTCTATCTTGAACATGTTCAGTATCTCATCAATAGGGGTGGCTGAATGAATTTCATAGGGTCTCTGAGATAAAGTTAAATCAATATCAAGTCAGCACAAATGGATAAAAGAATGTAGACAATTACATTTTCCCGAGCTTGGTGTTGTTTATGCTGGAAATAGCAAAAACATCAAAACGTTTTATAACAATTTTGAGGCTAATCCTTCTTTGTGTGTGTGTTTTTCTTCTGCTGTAATGAATGTAGATACTCATAGATATGTTTCCTCTGCAATTTTTTCTCTCATGAAAAGAAGTATAAGTTCAGATGGGAAGACTGAAGAATTTTGTTCCTGGGGCATTCTATCTGAAATGCGGATTATACTCTTGTGATCTAAACGGACAAGGTGGTGAAGTGGTGGCTGAAGGGAGATTTGTCATCCTGATTTTACTTAGTAGATAGAGAAATATAAAAATGCTTACAAAAATCTGTGTAAGAACCAGAGTAAGAAAAGTAGACTCCAAATCCCAGCCCTTTGCCTTTGCTCTTTTAGAAATCTGAAATTAACTCTAAAATTAAAACTAAAATTCGCACAGGACCTGATGTCCTGTATTTGCAGTGCCTAAATTCTTCTACAGCTGAAGAGAAGGTCCAGGCTTTACAGTCCTTTGTCCATGAAGATCACTGTGATTTACCTTTTACTAAATGTGGCTTTTGGAAATACGAGTACTGCATATAAATTTGTATTCTTATTAATTATTGTGCACATATTTTTAAAGACCTGCATTTGCGAACCAAGTTGTTAGAATGATACTTGATGTATTTTTTTAAACAAGGATAGAATGTGGATTGTTTGTGAATTAAGTTGTACTCGGCTGGTGACAAATGCATGGTATGAGATCTGCAGCCAAATGCCGTCATAGCGGCAGTGTGCAAATTGATGCATCACAATTCATGCACGACACAGAGTCACCTTCTAATCTAATACCTTCAACAGCAAAGGGCAGACACTCATTATCTTCACTAAGAACTGAATCATCCCTTGACTTTTGCTACCACGTACTGCTAGAAGATTATAATTTAAGACTATCTCTAGATGTCAGCTATCTAACCTAATAATGAATTAGAACCACTCTTCATAAAGGACTAAAAAATATTCTTAGTTTGAGAAGATTCATGCACATGTTTAACTTTGAACATATGTATGAAACTAAATTCATTCCAAAGAATTGAGATGTTCTAAAGATAAATCCAATTGCTTAAATCTTTTTGCTCTGATTCACATTCAGTTAGTTTGTTGTCATTTAGCTCTATCATGTCCATATGAATTCAATAGGACCTAATTGCCTGCTCTAAATACATAATTTTCCTGAATGAAGTTCAAAACTGTCATTTGAAATAGTCTGTCATACGTTTTTCCCTTCCTGCAGTGATGCTGCCCTAAACCAGCTATTAAAAATGAAAGGTTAACATTCTGTTTATTGTCAGGAAGTAACCTACTGCTGATTTAGACTTCATGCAACCGTATGACCAATATGATTATTGAGCCAGAATTTACACCAATCATTGTAAATGGTGGTTTAGCTCTAAAAATAGCAACTTTAAGGAATAATGAATCATTGAAGGTTTTTCTGTTAAGAATGTTTCTGACCAAGCCTTTCCCTTCAGTGAAAAATCCTTAAAAACCTACCTTATTTTAAAGATTATTGGCATTCTACAGTCTTGATTTTTTTGAGATTTGCAGAGATTTTTAATATTATCTTGAATTATATATGGCCATTGTAAATTTGGGCTTTATAGGGAATTCACACCTATATCTCCCATATTTTCCAGCTACTTAATCCTCTTGAGGTTCAGAACCCTACTATTTTGAAATAAAAATAAAATCTGGTTTGCTTTTGTTCATGAAGTTTGTGGTAAACTGTTGACATTGCAGTGAAAGCCAAAGTTGAAGAATTCCAACTATAACCTCTTTCCTTCACCTTGTCTATTCTGAGGGCATAGTATATACAGTTACTATAATATTTTAGCAGTGGTCTATACCCTAGGAACAGACTGATATGTGTCATGTTTTCTATCATGCAGTTTAATTCCATGGACTTGATGCAAAGCTTTCTGATTTACATTTTTTTCTCATTAGGGCTCTTATTAGAAACTGGCTAAGGAAAGAAACGTGCTTGCGACATATTGAGGAATGCTAGCGCTGCTGTAGATAAACAAAAAATAGTCCTGACAGCTCTGTACCAGACACAACCTACTCCTGTAGCTACAGCCCTGTTTCCAGCAATGTGCTGTCTTGACTGCCTGGTAGTAGCGAGAATGGCTGCAATGCCTTGATCACCCTGAGCCTCCTCTGAGGACCCTTCCATCTCACAACAGCAAACAAAACAAAAATGCAGCTCGGTATAAAGCAGCTTATTCTTACTAAGTTCCTTTCAAATTCAGCAGGCAGTGTCATGTACTATGCACTGCTCAAAACTGGAAAACGGTTGATATTTATGATGCTTCTCATTTCTAATACTCCTTCTTTCCTTCCCTCCTGCCTTCCCCATGCACTAGCATGCACCATGCAGGAAGTTGTATCTGGGTGGCTCTGCCCAGTACAACACACTCCTCTTTCTGCAGCAGAAGCTGGTGGGCTGCACTGAGCACCCACCTATCTGCTCTGTGGCAATGGGGCATCCTTGCTGCTGAGCAAAGTGCTGCAGAAGTGTGGAGGAGGAAGGAGCTGCCTGCCTGCAGGTTTAGCCTGAAACCTTGTACTCACAAGCTGCTTCTTTGCAGCCATCTGCACAGGGCTGCTGCAGCAGATGGAGCTCTGGAACTCGCAGTTTTTGCAGACAGCAACATGCCTCTGGTTAAGCACCTTCCCTTAACCCACCACTACTTCTCTTGTCATTGCTATTGCTCGCTGAGGCCTTGTCTGGACTAGAAAAGTTTAGAAATAGAATTCAGGAAAAAAATATACCTTTTCCTAATCCATACAAAGGCACGGGCTGCAAAGCCACCCTCCGGCTTGCTCAGTGAGCAAGAACCATTCTTCAGGAGAAAACAAGCAGCTGGCTTCCTCAACTGGGGCATGGACAGATTCAGTCTCAACTTTGCTTTGTCTGTAGACAGATCGATTTACTCAGAAAAGATTGTATGGATCTTGGCAAATGGATACCATTCAGTATAATTTTTCATTTAGTAAAGTGACTTTGTCACATTAAAGTGATCTTTGATGATTAGCCTTGGGAGTTCAGCTTTCATTACACAATCATTCATTGTGCTGCTTTCTTGGAGACACTCACTGGTGAAAGGGTTGGTAAAAAACCAGCAGGCTTTTCATTTAATTTATTATATGTGTAGCTAGTACTACTGTCTGTGGCTAGGGTTGAGGATGTATTATGTTTATCACTTAACTGTTCAGGTCTTAACTGTTCAGGTCTTAACTGTTCAGGTTAAAATCTTCCATCCTGGGAATAATGTCAGCTGTCAGCTTAAAAACTCAGTAGATTTTCAGAATGATGTGGAGAAACCCTTTTCTTAAGGGTTTTAATACCCCTGTGCTTTGAGAGCAGGCACTGAAATTTGGCATGGGAGAGTTCTTAGCATCAGGAGCTTGGCTTCTGCCATTTCTATGGAAATACAAAATAGATTGACCAAGTTTTACGCCTCTGAAAAATATGGCTTCTGGATTGAAGTAACAGTGTGCAGACCCTATGAAATGAAGTTTCCCATCCAAAAATGGGAATAACAATTGTTCTTTATTTCTAGTTTTCTTTGCCTATCATCCTAAATGAAACTGAGATCTTTGTGAGATGGATTGTCTCACATTCCAAAGTGCACAACAGAAGAGTGTAGTAGTACTGAGTTAATGTCATATGATAATAATCACTCCTCTCTTTAAAAATGCATACTGCAATGCAATGAAATACTCTAAGATAGGAATTATAATAATAATAATTAAAAAACACCAGCTACTTTAGCTATGTCATTATCCTGAAATAGTATCTAAATTACTGTTTTCCATAGGGATAGTAAATATTTAAGCAACCAGCTTCAATCCTTTGAACCAAAATGGAAAAGAATTTTCTATTATCTTCTGTGATGTTTGACCATGCTCAGGAAGATTTTTCATTCAGATTATTCACATAATTGATTAGATAAGTAACAAGTATACTGGCAGATAAGCATTGCCTGTAGTTGGGCCAAACATCTTAGGATATTGCATTAGCTCTTTTAAGGTATTAGCTAAGAGAATCAAAGATATAATAAAACCTAAAGTATCTCAACTTCTATTTGGGAAAAAAGTACCATTGTCAAGTACCAATTCAGCATTGTGGAGAAGCCATTAAACATTAGGGCTTTCTTTAGCCAAACACAGGCAAATGTAATTGGAAATGGGGTGAAACTTTCCCAAGAATCTTTTCAGCTGGGAAAGACCCAGGACAGCATTCCTGACCAGAGCCCCATCCACTCAGATTTTATCCTGAAGGGTGTGCTCAGGGGCACTGCAAACTTGGGGTCTTTTGTCAGTCAGTGTGTTAAGTAACAACATCAAAACCCATCATTCTTACCCAACCCCTCAGCAATTCATATGCTGTAATTCCTAGCGACCACCAGTCTACTGGGTATGAGTATCCTGGACCTCCATCCATAAAGGCCTGGAACACTTCTGGAGCTAAATCAATAATCAAATCAAACAAAAAAATATTATATTAAGGTTATACTATGGATCATTAATGTTAACAGCTGAAAAATGAATAAGGATGTGATTAACTGGAATGAAATACATTTGTAAGCACAGCATTTTCAGGATGCAGCTTCAGTATGTAGGTTTGCTGGCAGCAAAAGACTTTCAACGGTCAGGGTTTTTCTGAATTCAATAATTTTATATGTTACTTAATACCTGGTAATGAAAATATTTTATGGGAAAAATATCTGCAAACAATGTGATTCTTTGTGACTGATGAAGGTGTTGAACATGGTAAATCTCATCCTTATTCTACATTTGGATAGAATTAATCAGATGGATAATAAAGGTATTCAACATGAGAAAATAGCAATTAAACACAAGTATGTATTTACACAAGTACATATCTTACACTGTATGCTGTAAGAAACACTGTCATGACTAGAAATAAACACAGTCAATAAAGTGATGAATTACATAAAAATAACTTTCCAGGGAGGGTGTGGGGAGATCTTTTCAAAACAAAGATACAGTTGATTAATTTCAGCAAGAAAAACATACTAAATAATGCTGCTATTGCTTCTTCAAAATACCATCAATAAATAAAATCATATGAAATGAAATTAAATGAAAAGTCAGTCATGCTTTTCTAATTGTTTCACAGCAGAATCTCAATACACTTTGTGAAAACCACACTTTCCCTTGGGTTTTTCTAAACAATGCTATCACCAACCACAACATCATGGTTGACTGCTATTACCATGTGAGCCTCTTCTGCCCAAGGTACCAAATCTAATATACCACATTACTACCTGATTACCATTGCATCACTTTCTAATGGGCATACTGCAATGAATAATGTAATTTGTTCATGCTTACTTCCAACTGGCAGTGGGATTTTTTATGGTATTTAGAGGAGCACCTTTAATTAAAGAAAAAGCATTCCTTTCAGAGTTTATGAAGTCCTTGCATTACGGATTGCAACCTAACAATTTACAGCTCTAGACGACTTCAGAAAGCCTTGAATAGCCAAACCTAATAGAGGATTTTGGCATTCAAGAGTTAGATAGGAAGGAAGACTAGGGAAAATAGGTATAGGTAAGGTATAGGTATTGTGCTGTGACCCGGTATAGCATGAATCAATAACGCCATAGAAGTCATCACACGGAGTTAGCTATGCTTCACCTCCAGACAACACAGCTTCACTTGGCATGCTCTATCTTCAGATGTATTTCAGACCTTCCTTGCGTGCTACTGTGGATCTTTGGTGACACAATTTACATGCAGGCAGTGTGTCATGGAGATAGGTGCTGAGAGGGTAGCCAGGAGGTTTTGTGTTACTTTAGTGGGTCAATGCACCTAAACTGTACATCAGACACCAAACTAATATTCTAATATTCTGAATATCACCATAGTAAAGGTTTGCTTTATTAAGCCCCATTTGTTATGGGTTTTGCCCACTGTGCCTAGATGATGTATAATAGCACATTACAGAAATAGCCTTTGTGACCTTTTTACTGAGGTATAAGGTATAATTTTGGTTTCACTCTTTTTTTTATAGCTTTAGCATTGCAATAATGTGACAGATCACTATCTGATTTCCGTGAGGTAAAGCTGAAAATACCGTATTGATGCAACCTATAACACTGCCAGAATGGTGTAGACATTTTGCTAGTTACTGACTGAGTTATCCATTTTTATTTCATTTGCTTGTCTAAAAGCTTCAAGGTCAACTCATCCCACATTAAGCAGACCAGTAGAAAATTATTCCTTTTGCCCACTGGCCCTAGTGTTCTGAAGCTGTTTTCTCACCTTAACCTGACGGCATCCTTAGATTAGAAAATGAGCAGTCAGGCTAATGGTTTTTAAAGCAAATGGACCCTTTTCACCTGCTTTAGCAGTATTACTTTGCAGTCAAGCAGGACTGCCTCTCCTCATTCAGTCAGCTCCATTCAGCTCTCTTTTAATCAGCTATAAGCATCCACTTTGCAAGATGAGGGAGGGCTGACAGGAGGTGCAATATGATTTACAGTATTCTACCTACAGAAATCTCAACCCTAATGAAGCCCAAAAAACTCTCCCCAGTTTGACAAGACTATAAAAATACCAATCTCACACTAGGCTTGTGCTTAATGTGTCCAAAAACCTTTTTGCACTGAGACATTAGGTGCAAATGAAGGACTCCAGGCTGTACAGACTCTTAGAGTTTGACTGTTCATTCAGAAACATAGTGTGATTTTGCATAAAGACAGCAGATACTCCTAGTGATGGGGTTAGTCAAGCTTTGAAGAACTAGAGCTCTGAAATACAGAACATAACATTAGTTTTTGCAGTAAGAAATAACTATGTCATGAGAACCAATCAAGAGTGCAAACTGGCTAGGATAAAAGCAGAGAAAAAATCTGAAAGGAAAGATAAGTTTCTACATTGATTTCTTTAGGATTGTTATTGAAATAGACTGTCTGCAGTCTTATTATTTGAATTTTATCTCAGGCTCAGCTTGGACAGGTCTCCTACAGCCTGCTGTGGGTATGTTCTTCTAAAGGGTGATAAGATTTGAGCTTGACAGCTTAGAGCCAGTGCAACAGAGCTCTGCTGTGTGCACCCTTTCTGCACACATCCACTCTTATAACAGAATTAGGATGAGAAGAATACTAACATCTTTTACCCCTGTGCAAGGATTCTGCCTGCAAAAGTTGATTCATGTGAACAAAAGTGAGAGTGTATAAGAACAAGAGTTTCAGATATTTTTCCTCAAGCAGCTTCTACTGAACAAAGACTTTTCAGGAAAATATGTAGTTTTAATACTTGGACAGATCCTGCAGAATCTTTTGGCTGAGAGCTGTAATTACTACCATGTTCAGTTAGAGGGAAAGCACTAGAAGTTTCCATGGTGGAAGCAGTACTTTTAGATTATGAATCTAAACCAAATAATGCCTGGACACATTCCTGTGTAACATTATCTAGGTGTTCCTGCTCCGGCAGGGGGATTGGACTAGATGATCTTTTGAGGTCCCTTCCAATCTCTAACATACTGTGATACTGTGATACCAGCTCTACCAGCAAAAGTGAATTCAAAGACAAGTGAAGAAGTGATGCGGTTCACAGGTCTTACACATCCTCGCAGCTCCCCATGAACAAGCATCTTTGTCGTAATGCAGAACTGCTTTAATAGAGCTGCCCAAAAGAGTGCCTCCAACAGCAGTAACCTGGTCCAGATTCACTGCTCACCCCACTTTCAGCAGGAGGTTGGAAGAGAGATTCCTGAGGCCCCTGCTGACATGAATCACCTGATGATACTGCAATGCTGATGAAACTCAACCAACCACCTTCTCACAGTGCATCTGAGTGAGGCCATGAAGGGCTCTTAAGGCCAAATTCTCAATGGGACCTTTACAGCCTCTTTCTCTTGGCATTCATTATGAGCTGCACGGGCTCTTCACCTCTGCTAAGACACCTGAAAATCCTTTTCAGAGCTCTGTCTTTAGCTGCTTTTGCACTGTATCTTTCTGGTAATACCGTATCACTGCAAACTGTAGGAAGTAAATAAATGGTTATTTCTCTTTAAAATAAAACTGTACTTGAGAATAGCTAATTAAAAATTGAACATGAAAGCAAATCTAGTGGTTCTGCATCCATCTCAGCAGCTCACTGGAATATCCATACTCCTGTTCTGTGGGTTTAGCAATATTTGGAGCTCCAAATAAGTTTGTGAGAGAGTAACTTCAGAAAAATCGATTCATATATATAATTACTCGCTGCAATTATCCTAGCAGTCAAATGCTTTACAGTGTAAATGATTAAAGGATGTATCTCATATTGCACACATATTTCCCTAAAGATCTGTAAATAAAATAAAAAACTGAAATTTTACTTAACTGGTTATTAATTATGTACCCTGTTTGTGGAAGTTTACCTGTACCTTGAAATATAGCTCATGAACTTGAAATAAAAAGAGAATATCAGTGTAGAGTGCAACCACCACAGAACCCAATTTTCACTATTTCTTTGTACTGTGAAAAAGGATTTTGTACATCAGATAAAATGTTTTTAAGAAGGGTTTCTAAAAATCTGCTTAGTATTAATAAGTATCACTTAACTTCACAGTTAAACTATAAGTACTCCAGACCTCTAAAGGTCAGACCATTTTAATTTGCTTCAGAAGGGTGTATTGGAAAATGCTGGCGATGGTAAAATAGCCAATTTGAGGTCTATCACTTGGAATAGCTGGCACAAAGTGCAGCTGTTATTATTTTTGATGGAACATACTATTTAATCATAAAGATAATTCATCAGACTAAATCATAAAATGAAGAGCTTGGAGTGGCTGTGATACAAGTCCTAAATAGCACAATGTGGCATTTCTTTTCTGATGAACTGATTTAAGTTTCACTTCCTTTGCAAGAAGCTAACCGAAGAGCATGTAGTGTACTTGCCTACCACTACCTGTGAGACTGCCATGTGCTGATAAAGAAGCTTACACAGCTGGTACTTACTTCGAAGCATTGCCAACTTCCCTAGGCTGCTTTGAACCACTGTAAAATTCGTGAGGGGGAAAGTGAAGCAAGATGAACGCATTAGACCCTTCAATTGGCCTTTGCCGTACATTAACAAATCTGTATACTTAAGCAATGACGTGCAAGTGACCCTTGCAAGATTGGTTAGCTGTAAGGAGCTGACTGTCTATGCATAGCTAAATGTTGCTGAGGAGAGTTGGTCATTAATAACAACAAAAATACCCTGTACCAATGTTAATTTGACAAACTGAAAATAAAATAAAAAATAAAGCCATCATGGTTTGGACTTGCATTATGGGATGATCAAGCTCAGGTGGGCATGTCCAAAACATTTCTCAAGAAAGAAAACCCTGACATTAGTCATGCAGTTGGCTAGCTAGAGCTCTCCATAGCCTATTTGCATCTCGGCAGAGACCCTACATGTCAGTAAGGGGAATCAGAGGTTTGTGGAGTATGGCAGGGTTTGCAAAG